GGCTCCTGCCCGCGTCCGTGCTGGCGTTCCTGCCGGGACTCCTTGTGTGGACTCTGTGTTTTGGGGGCTGATGTGGGAGATGCTGGCTGACCTGAGAAGTGTTCTTAGAAAGTGGGGGCCGTCACCTCTGGCCTGGGGCCCTGGCCTGTCCCGCAGCTCCGGACATCAGCCCTGCAGGGAAGCCCAAGCCCCGAGTGGAGACTGGGCTCCGGGGCAGGGGTCCGAGTGGGTTGTGGGGGGTGGCGGGCGCATGGCGCCGGGCTCAACACCGTCTGCTGTCTTCCAGTCAACGAGTTCGCGGTGATCAGGAAGAAGTTCAAATGCCCGTACTGCAGCTTCTCGGCCATGCACCAGTGCATCCTCAAGAGGCACATGCGCTCCCACACCGGCGAGCGGCCCTACCCCTGTGAGATCTGCGGGAAGAAGTTCACCAGGCGCGAGCACATGAAACGGCACACGCTGGTGAGTGGGCGGCGGGCGGGGCTAGTCCAGGACAGTCCTCGCAGGCCCTGGGCCGGGGTTCTCTGGGCCTAGAGGAGGGAGGCAGCACTGGTCACTCTAGGAAGCGGGTTCACAGCGGTAGGAGGAGCACTGAAGTGGCAGTCGGGGTTCCCCTTGGCGAACCCCCGGCCCTCCTGCCCAGGTCCGCACTTGGCCCAGCTCCCAGACGCCCTGCCCGGATTTCTCAGGAGACAGGTGCCTTGAGTCATTCCCGGTCACCGCTGTCCTGGGGCTCCCATCACCTGGCCTCCAAACCACCTGGCCCCCTCAGGCCTCCAGGCCCTAGCCAGCAGCTGTGGGGGCTTCTCCCCTCAGAGGGCAGAATTCAGAGATCATTGCTCAGCGTCTGCAGAGAAATGTAGGGAGCGAGGCAGAGGAGACAGCATGACCCTCAAGCAGACCTGAGCTCTGGACAGACCAGCCCCGATGAGGGGAGGGACACAGCCCGCCGACTGCCCATGCCCTTCTGGACAGGGATGAGTGGTGGTGGCACCTGCAGTTCTGTGTGTGCAGTGGCCCCAGCCAGAGTCAGGGGCCTGAGCAGGCCTGTTGCCTGCTGTCCGCCTGCACTGACCGCCCTCCCCCGGCACTGACCATCCTGTCCCCGCAGGTCCACAGCAAGGACAAGAAGTACGTGTGTAAACTGTGCAGCCGCGTGTTCATGTCGGCCGCCAGCGTGGGCATCAAGCATGGCTCGCGACGCCACGGTGTGTGCGCAGACTGCGCAGGTCGCAGCGGGGCCGGGCCCCTGGACAGCAGGGGCGCCGAGGGCTCCCCTGAGCTGTTTGCTGGCGATGGGCCGTACCTAGAGGACCCTGAGGACCCGCGCGGCGAGGGCGAGGAGGAGCTGGGCGAGGATGAGGACGACGTGGGCCTGGCCCACGAGGACGCGCTGCTGGGGGATGACAAGGAGGACGAGGACTCGCCACGGGGGCCCCACAGCCCCGCAGGGGGTGGCGACAAGGACTTCACCTGGATCTCCTAGGCTGGGGCTGGGGCCTCCTGTCTGCCTCCGCCGCTGGCGTGTGTGCCCCACCCCCGATGTGCGCAGATGCCAGCCCGTGGGTTCAGAAGTGAGTGGGGCTCCAGCCGAGCGTGGAGCCGGGGTGCGGGGGCAGCCAGGGAGCTGTGTGGTCTCCACAGCAGGTGGGAGTGGTGGACAACGGGGGAGCCCACGGTCTGGGCTCCGGCGCACTGTGGTCTGAGGCCAGGAAAGGGTGGACACCGCCGGGCTCCCAGGTGCGTCCCCGGGGGCTCAGGTCCGGGAGCTGCAGACCTGGCACCGTGTCCACCCTCCCCCCTCTCCCCCTCCGCCTCTGCAGCCTGGTCACTGCCTGCGGCCGCTGCACCCCAGGCCACTGGCTCTGCGGCCACCCTGCAGGGTCCGGGTCCAGGTCCCGTGTCCGGAAAGCCCCGCGGCCCCCCTGCCTCCGGGCTCTGGTGCTGAACGCGGGGCAGCTGCTGACCACGGGGCAGCTGCTGACCGCGGGCCGGGCTCCCAGGTGCTATCTTCCGTGGGGCGGCCGCGGAGCCGGGTGCTCCCGCTGCAGGGCCTGCTCCACGTTCTGCGTGCACTTCTCAGGGCCCGGGCCGTCTGCCGCCCAGGCCCGTCCTGCTGACCCTCCCGGCGGGCTTGCCTTCATTGCTGCTAACACTGGAGGGTGTCCCGCTGCCGCGCCCCTCCCCGCGTGGGTAACCAGACTGCCTGAGTCCTAAGGTAGCAGGTAATCGCGTGAAGTGGTTCTGTTCAGTGTCATCCTCCTCGCGCCGGAGCCTGCGGGCTGTCTTTTTCTTTGGCGTGTTTCCAGGTCTTGCTCGCGACCTGTCAGCGCTCTTTTCTGAGCTGCCAAGGCCCTGCGTTGCGTTGTGAGGACGTCTCCCTCCCAGGTTGCAGGGCCCAGACCGGTCTGTCTTCCTTCCCGCGGGTCCTGACCAGGCCCATGACACAGACATTCCGTGCCTCCCAGCTCGCTGCTCCTGTCGCGGGCCGTCTGTCTGTCACTGCAGGACCCCTTGGGTGCTGAGCTGGGGCGCCACAGGTGGCGCTGGGCTTTTCCACTCGTTTCCCACAGCCGTCAGCCCTGCGGTTTTCCAGGCAGAGAAAGGAAAACCCCGCAGACCGTCTGGGGCCAGTGGTGGCGACCGGAGCACAGCCTCCCGGCTGCTGGGGTTGGGGGCGGCTGGCCAAGGGTGCTGACCTGAAGTCTTGCCCAGGGGAGAAGTCACAGCTTTGTTTTTTGTTTTGAATACCATCCGTAGACGAGGGCTGCGCCCCCCCCCCCACAGCTGGGGAAGCTGTGAGCTTCAAGGCTGGCGCGGGGGCTGGGGGAGGGGGGTCCGGTGCTGGGGGCTCCGGTCCCCTTCTGCCTTTCACAGGAGACCTGGCTGAGCCTGTCAGCAGGGCGCTCACCCGTGTCCCTTTCCCCAACTTCCTAACCCTTTTATAAACAGACTTCCTTTCTTATAAAACGCATTTGGAAACCGACCTTCGCTACCAAGTGTCTCTGGGTTGGTCCCGGGCCCACCTCTCAGGCCGTCCTGCCCACGACCCGGGCCACCTCCGCCCGCACTCAGGACTCCCGCTCTCCGCCCTGCTCGCTCCCCGTGCGGGACCACCCCTGCTGCCCTGTCCCCTTTCCGGGGTGTTGCCGTCAGTGCCACCGGGGCATTTTCTCCCCTGAAACAGTTCTTTCCAGGAAAACTGAGGGTCCCACTTCCTGCCCCCGAGCCCCCAGTGTTGCTTGTTCTCGTGTGCGGTAAACTCAGTGCTGAATTTCAGAGATGAGACGAACACATAGCCTCTCGGGAGGCACGGAGGGAAAAAACGTGTAATGGTGTTTTTACGTGATTTTTCCCCCCAAATCAATGTTTAAACTAATAAATATTTTTTTATGAACAGGAAAAAGACGTGCAGATTACATTTCACATTTTGTACTTCTCTGTTTGTGTGTGTCTGTACTTGGCATTGGCAACGCCGTGGAACACGGTCCGTCAGGTGGCAGGGTCTTTGTGGGTGGGGTGGGGGGCTGGGAAACCAAGACTTGTGTATCAAACTCTGGATCCTGACCAGGCTGTAGGTTTGGACTCTGGTCTGGGGGACAGTCACAACACTGCCAGGACTCGATAGGGGCCTCTGCTGAAGACACAGCTACTGCTTCCAACTTTGCACATCTTCCTTTTAAAAAGAAAACCCTGAGAAAATGCAAAAACTGGAACTTTTTGCAATATGATGAAAGATAATATTATTTTCGCTTATTCTGTGACATGTGCAACTCTTAAGAAAGCCATACTTAATGGTGTTTCTGTTTTTTAGACCCTATGTTGTGTTCCGTGTGCGGCCCTTTTTAGAACTACGTGTAGTGAGGGCGCTGTGTGCTTCTCTTAAATATTTATTTTTTCAACATGCTTTCAACCTGTCAACAAAGACAAAACAGACAAAAAACAGGCAGTGTTTGAAGACTGTTGACTTTTTTCTGGGGATAATCTATACTATATCGATTTTTATTAATTATTACAAACCTGTGTTTGTGCTGGAGATGTGTTTATTACTTGGGGGAGTTTCTCGTAATCAGTCGATGGGGTGTCACAGCTCTGCTGTCTGCTCCCTGTGCCGCTGACAGGTGAACAGCACTTCGCCTAGTGGTCTTGAGATTTCTTGTCTGCCTGGGCGCACTCTGGGCCTTTCTGTGACGGGATTAGTTAGACATTCTTACAAAGCGATCACTTTCAATAAATTGGGAAATTGCTGCTTGAGTAGATGCCTCTTGTGTGTTTCAGACAGTGTCCCCTCCTCCAGCCTCACCTGGGTCCAGGTGGCCAGTGACCCCCACCCCCAGGCAGCCTGGTTGCTGGCCTCCTGCCTGCCCACCCACTGCTCCTGCCCATGGCAGGACCCCAGTTCCATGTCCTCCCCAACCCAGGAGGCAGAAACGGCTTTTGGAAAAACCCCAAATCTTTAATTTTTCTTCTCGCCTGGTTCGGCCCAGACTTGAGACACCTGAGCTTTGAAAACACGGTACAAATGTCCATCCCAGGCCCTCAAATGGTCAGGTTAAGTGCAGGTGGGGGAGCCCCCTCCCCAACACCCCCTCAAAGTGCATTGAGGACTGGGCCCCACGTGGCCACAAAGCTGGGCTCATCACACCCCTGACAAGTCCAGGGCCGACAGGCAGGGGCGGCCACCCCTGGGGATCCTGGGCCAAGGGGACAGCTGTGAGGTTTGGCTTTAGTGCAAAAGGCTGGTTTCTTCAGAGGCACTTTGAATGGTGGGGGCCCCCCTAGTTAGAAAACCCTGCAGCTAGGAAAGGCCTCGGTGTGGGGGGGCTCAGTCCAGGAAGCGCTGGCAGGCCTTCTTCCAGCGGCAGGCTGTGCACCACAGGTCCCGATGGTCCATGCCGTACACCTTCCGGCACTTCTTGGCATCACCTCGGGGCTTCCTGGGGGGACACATGAGGCCATGGGTGCTGCTGGGCTGGGACCCTCCCTGCCTGGTGCCTGCCCCAGCCCCTCTACATACACGCACCTTAGACTGGCACCAAGCTTGGCGGGCAGGGCTGGGGTGGGCTGTGGCTCCAGCAGGGTGGGTGCCTGGCAGCCCTGAGAGGAGACACAGCTGTGGCCTCACACTCATCCGGAGCACCCCAAGACCCGGACCCAGCAGCTGCCAGTGGCCTCACCTACCTGGTAGGCATGGTCACTGTGGCACACCTGGGGGGATGCTGCAGAGCTCAGCACTGGGGGTGGGGGCAGGGCCAGTGGGTGCAGCAGAGTGGGCAGGGCTGGGGGCTCCGGGGGCTCCAGCAGCTCCAGGCGGGGGAAGGAGGGTGGTATGGAGGCCGTGGGGGACCCCGGGGTCAGGCTGAACAGCCCCTCGGTCAGCGAGTCCATGCCGACGTCCAGCTCTGTGTAGTAGAAGTCCTCCTCACCATCACTCTGCTCGGGCTCGGCCTGCCGCCTGCTGGGGGCGCGGTGGGTGGAGCTGAAGCGGAACCCAGCCTGGCCGCCCCCCCACCCCCCACCGCCGGCCCCACCGCACCCCAGGTGCACCAGGCGGATGTGTCTCTGCATCCCAGAGGCCGTGCTCAGCACCTTCCCGCAGCGCTTCCACAGACACTGGAACAGGACCTGCAGCGAGCTCTGGGTGACAATGACCAGGGGTCAGGCTTGGACACCTGTGTCCATCCTGCCCAGTGGGCTGTCCTCAGGCTCACCTTCCTCTTCCTCAGGGCGGGCTCCCCGAACAGGAAGTGGGCTGCCTCAGGAGGCAGCGGGGGCGACGGTGTAGATGGAGAGGACTGGTCACTGGCCACGTCCCAGCCCCAGTCCCCACTGCTGCAGCTGCTCAGTGGCCGCACCAGGGCCTCCTTCCAGGGCTCCAAGCTGGGCTCTGCAGGGACATACCAGTGCCACTGCTGGCACTTCCGGTGGGCTCAGGCTGCTTTGCAGAAACTGGCTTCGAGGCCCTTAACTCGGAGCCTCCACCTGTTCACCTGTTCTCAGGTGAGCTTGGTGGGAAAGGACCTCTTGGAAGAGGCAGTGGTCAGGAGTTGGCTACAGTAGGAGCTGACTAGCCTCTCCAGCACATGGAAGGAAAAACAGAACAGTCCCGTGTGGGCAGACACCTAGCCAGCCAGGAGATGGACAGATCACAGAGGCCTACGGGCCTGGGCACTGCAGCTTGGGCCTCGGTGAGGGGCAGAGGGGGTCCTGAGGTACATTTTAGGCCTCAAGAGATGCATTTAGAAGATGGTGTTCCAGGATAGGGGGCCTCTGCTTACTGC